TGATGATGCCTTCTAGCACTGCGATCAGTATTACTCGCAGTGCGGCTCAAACCCCAGACCCCACAAACATACAGGCCGGTTGTCGCTACAACACCCTAAAGCCTAAACCAAAAGGCCCCGAATCCTAAAACCCAAACCCTAAACCTAAAACCCAAAACTAGAAGCCCCAAAACCCTAATTCCTAAACCTGCACCCTAAACTGTAAACCCAAAACTATAAGCCCTAAACCCTGTTACCTAAACCTAAACTGTGGTTGACCGTCCAGGCCAGGCAGCCATCTTCGAATCGGGGCCAAACTGAGGGATGAGTCCTGACATGGTTTAGGGGTTAAGGACCTAGGGCCTAGAGTTTAGGGTTTTAATGTAGGGGCCTTAAGAATTAGAATAAGGTTTTGGGGGGTATACTATACGTGAAAGGAACCCCCCCAAAATAGTGTTGGTAATAATTTAGGCCCCTACTTGGAGGGTCGGGAGACTTAGTAAGTGGGTCATAAGTAGACTTATAAGCACCCTAAAAGGGACCCTAATTGGGGTTATAGTACTTATAAGTCTACAAACATAACCATTTACTAAGTCCCCCGACCCTCCAAGTACCTTAGGAGGGCGCGGGGTTCTGGACCCTAAACCCTAAACCCTAAACCCTAAACCCTAAACCGAGGAGGGACTCGGGGGCAGAGAATTCAGGCAGCGGGAGGGCGAGCCGGCGAGCCGGGCTTTCACTCGACTTGAACTCAGTGGCTGTCATACGCAAGATTAGGAGTCGGGTGACGACACCATTTTATATTATATATATATATAACTTCCCATGAACTCCACTAAAACTTGCACAACTTGAAACCTACTCTGAACTGTCCGTATTTACCTCACTGTCGTGCACCAGCATGAACCTCCACCTTACATCTGCGGCTCAATAAAAGTAATAGGGTTTGCGAGGGTGTAATGTACACCAACTTCGGAATGCCCTTTTGCCATGCCGACCCCTCTTGGGTTTACGGTTCACCTTTATGGTTTAGAACTTAAGGCCCAGTGAAACGTCCATCTGAGAAGGACTTACCACCACGTCCTGGGCAAGGGCTTTTGAGTTGGATATCAGAATACGGCTTACGGCTTAGATGGTACGAGAACCGCAGGATGCCCAGCTGGAGCATTTGCCGCCATCATCATCATCATCATCATCATCATCATCACCATCATGATCATCATCATGATCATCATCATCATCATCATCATCATCAACATCAGCATCATAACCATAATCATCATCACCTTCATCATCATCAGCATCATCATCATCATCGTCATCAACATAATCATCA